GAACGTTCCTTCACAGTTACCACTTTTTGTGTATCTTCTGTTTAAGAACGCTTTGCTTGCCCCAAGACACTAAGGTGTCTTTTCATAGTATTTTCTGTAACGTTTTGCCTTTTCACACATAACTTCACAACACAAAGCTTTATCGTATTTGGCAAGCTTGGTTTTCTGCCCACAGGAATATTCAGTTGACTCGACAGCATTTTTTGAGAAGATGGGCCTTTCGTGCTCCTTACGTGCGCCTAATTGCCCCTCTGTGCGGAGCTGTCCCAGCCGCTCTCTCGCGCAGGAGCCACACCGCTGTAATCCCTGAGACGGCGGTCTGGTAGGGAGCCCACCCTCCTTGCCAGCCGACTGCTGGCACTGTGGGCCGACCACCACCCTCTGCATCTGCATGCGAGCTTAGAGCTCAGCCTGTCAGCTTCCACCGATAAACCTGCCGAGGTTTTATTGGGGATACAGCGATTAACTAACATCTTTATAATGTGAAATCTTCTGATCAGCGAACGTGTTTTTGTCTCCACGTTTTTAGGTCGTTAATTTCTCTCAGTAATGTTTGCAAAGTTTTCTGGGTAGACATCTCATCTCGTAGGGTTTTTGTTTTTTTTTTTTAATGATGATGTTATAAATGGCATCTTTTCCAGGATTTCCTCTTGGAACTCTTTTTGCCAGCATGTATAAATGTAATTGAATGTTGGATGTTGACTTTGATCCAGCAACATGACTAAGCTTACTTGTTTTAATAATTTATCTGTAAATTTTATTGGGTTTTCCACCTTCGCAGTTGTGTCAGCTACTATTAGTAGTTTTTCATTTCCTTCTGATCTTTACGCCTTGTTCCGCTGCTTAGGATCCTGGTACTGGCTGGAGCAGGGACGTCAATAACTCTGTTTCAGACCCTTCCCTCCCACCCCTACCACAGCCGAGGACTCGGTGCGGGCATCTGTCAGATCAGAGAGGGTCCCCTTCCTCCTCTGCTGAGGGGGCTTTTCCATCCTATGGTTTTAATCCTGAATAGCTATTGAATTTTAATCAGATGCTTTTACTGCATATATTGAGCCAATCATGATTTTTTTCTTTATTCTGTTAACTTGGAGAATTTAATTAATTGGTCTTCAAATGTTAAAGCAAAAATGCATTCCAGGAATTAAACAAACTTGTCTGTGGATTGTCCTTTGTAAGTAATGCTTTATTTGGTTTGCTAATAAGCAGTTCAGGGATTTTTGCATCTGTGTTTATGAGAGATCTTGACAGTTTTTATTTCTTACAGTTTCCTTAGCAGGTTTTGGTGTCATGGTTTTTCTGGCTTTATAAAATGCGTTAGAAGGTTCTCCTTTCCCTTCTTTGTTGTGTGAGATCGGTGGTGTTTCTTTCTTTAAAGTTTGGTGGAGTTACCAAGAAAGGTGTCCGGACCTGGGGTTTCTGTTGGGAAGGTTCTGTATTGGGGCTTTGATTTCTTTTAATAGCTTGGGAACGATTCAGATTTTCTTTTTCTTCTTGATTCAGTGGTGATAAACCTTAAAAACAAACAAAACAAAAAAAGGATTGTCTATTTTATGTAAAATTTTAAATTTGTGTGAAGTTCAGTGTATCTTGTTAGATTTAAAAATATTTCTGTGGTCTGTAGTTATGTCTTCCTTTTCTGTCTCATTATTTGTTTTTTTAATCTCTCTCTTGAAGTATCTCATCAAGGTTCATCAATTTTATTAATCATTTGGATGAACCAGCTTTTGGTATTGTTGACTCTATATTCTATTTCATTAATTCCTATTTTTATATTTACTGTTACCTTTCTTTGTTTTTCTTGTTCTGACTTTCTCAGTGGTATAGGTAGTTGATTGGTTTTATCTTTCTCTTCTGATATATTCATTTAAGGATGTAAATTTAGATGCAGAGTTCAGGATTGATATATTGTATTTTTCCTATTTAGTTCAAAATACTTACCAGTTTCCACTGTGACTGCGCTTATACGTACCTGTTACCACTGTCGTCTCTACACGTCCATGGGACCCTTTTCCTTCTGCTGGAAGGATATCCTTTAGTGTTGCCCCTTGGTGTGGCTGTGTGCTGAGGAGCTGTCTGAGTTCTTCTTGGTTTGGAAGTGTTTTGATTAAACTTACTTTCAGAGGACTTTCCCGCTGGGTGCAGACAAGGTGGGCAGCCTCCCGCCTGTGCCCTCTGACGGCCCCTTCACTGTCTGTTGACTCTCACGGACTCTGTTCAGAAATGCGCGGTCCGCTGACGCTGGCGGCTGACCTCACCTCCCTTTCCCGTCTGAACCGTCTGTCCTGGCGTCCTCCTGGTTCCTCCGGGACTGGTCCGGGGCTGCAAGGCTGGACTCTGAGCTGCCTGCTTGGAGTTGCCTCAACCTCGTCCCCGGGTCTGCCATGGGCGTGAACCCCGATGGACGCAGGAGTCGTAGCCGCAGGGCAGTGCACAGGCGGTGTGGTCCACAGGATGTGTGCAGACCCTCTGCCTGTTCACCCAGGGCCTCTCCCTCTGTCCCGCCCGGCCAGGCCCGCTCACCCCTCAGCAAGTTCTGTGCCTGGTCCTTGATACCTGGGGTAGCACGAGGCCGTGGTGTTACCAGCCACCGCGTCTGTTAGGAGTGTGGGGCCGGGCCTGGGCTTGGGGCCCTCGGCCGTCCCTGCCCTCCCCTGCACCCTCAGCTCGTCTCTCCCGAGATTGGGTTGTGCTGATCACGTGACCAGCAAGGGTGGCGGGGACACAGGATTGTGGGGTCCCAGGGAGAGACGCCCCACAGGGGCCAGTCTCGTCTGCCCGGCCCATCTCTGCCGAGCTGTCTGTTCAGGGGTGAGTGGCCACGCTCGTTCAAGTGGAAACCAGAGCGTTTTTCACCGCAAGTGGACTCTGTTGTTCCAGAGTCATTATGGGATCCAGCCAGCACAGTTCTTGTGACTTTGTAACTAATGAGAAAACAGTTTCTCTAAAAGGTACAGACAGCAAACTTTCAGCTTTGTGTCTTCTTCTTTGATAGCCTGGAGACGTAACAGAAGAGAACGGTAGTGAGAGGCGGCATTGTGGAGATTTACGGGTCAATAAAGGCAACAATTACTGCTTGTTTATGAAAGGAAGGCCCTCCCGCCCGGCCCCCACGTGCCCCACTGCTCCGTGCTGATGCCTCTGTAACCAGCTCGGAACCATAAAAGTCAATGGGAAGATAGAGGATTTCAATAAAATTATGACACTCGATAAACCGTCCTGTTGGAAACAAATTTTCCACGGGTGTGTGACCAGTTGCAGTTGGACTTGTAACTTTAATTTCTCACTTATTGGATTTTTTGTCATCACCTAATGATGAAGTCTGTGTTGGCTGGGGTGATGGCCCAGCCGGAGGCTCGCGAGACCACTGAACTCGGCAGGCAAGGGCCCGTGGGCTCCCCAGGGAGACAGTGTGGTCCTGTGAGCCCCCAACTTCTCCAGTCTCACCTGAGGAGGGGCCCAGGCCGGCCCAGGGGCCGTGCGGTGCTCAGGCTGCAGGAGCGGTTGGGGTGCATCTGTCTGGGGCAGGCAGGCCTCCGCTCACAGAAGCACCAGCTGAGAGGACGTGGGCAGAGGGCCTGTGGCCTCGCCCCCCGGTCTGTTCCAGGTCTGAGAACGTGCCTCGGGGACAGTGCCAATGTGGGCTGACCCTGCAGCTCGCCTGGTCGCTGCCCTGGTGGGTGTGGGGGCTGCGGGGGCACCGGGAGGGTGTGGAGCGAGGTTGCGTGACCCTCTCCAGCGGCTGCACCAGGACGCCGCACCCGTTAACACGTGGATCTGTTTGCCCGTATGTACTGGGTCGCTGCTGTCACTGTGAGCCTCGTGGGCCCCAGGGCCGCGGCTGGGCTCTTGGTCCAGGACAGTGTCGGTCATCCCTGGCAGCCTGCAAGAGCCGCTGATGAGGAAGGACGGAGGCTCAGGGGGCGAGGATCAGAGCTGGGACTTGGCTGTGGTCTCGTGGGCACGTCTTCTGGGTTCTGCCAGCCCAGGCGGAGGCCACCCAGGTGTGCGTCCTGCTCCCCAGCGCAGCTGGCACGCCGCGGCTTCACCCACCAGAACCCCAGGCTCAGACCTGCTGGAGCTCTCAGGATCTTTCACAGGAGGCGGGAGCGTTGTGCATTGGTGCCCCGTGAGCCTGGCTGCGTGCAGGGAGCTGATTCTCTTTAATTATGTCACCCATGTGGGCCTCGTCGGCGACAGCTGGGGGCGCAGGGCAGGAGGAGGGCAGGCGCCCATGCCCAGCTCCTACCCGGGAAGAGGTGCCCCCTCCACGCTCGCCCTGGCGTCAGGCCCTCAGTGGGCAGAAACCTCCTTTCCTGGAGTCAGAGCGGCTCCACTGCTGGATGCAGGGTGGCCCGCAGCCTCCCAGGACTTCCCGGGTCCCCCCGTCACAGCGTCTTGGGAAGGCCCTCCCGTCCGGCTCAGGTGTGGCACCCGTCTCCCCCGGGCCCTGGCCTCCTGGCTCAGGTTGTTAGCCTGTACATCGCTAAACGGTGACCTGACTCCTGTCGACTTTTAGGGGTGTTCTCGGGGCCGCGTGATCAATGTGTCCCAGGAAATCTGAGCTCTGTCTTTACTGGGCACCATCTTTTGTCCCAGACACGGAGGAGGGGGGCCAGGCGTGGCTGGGGCATGCTGATGCCTTGAACTCTGGCCTCTTGCATCCCACGAGCTCCAGGGGAAGGAGAGCCCCCCCACCCCTTGCCTGTGAGTCTCCAAGCACAGCAGGCCCGATGGTGCCACTCGAGGCTGGGTGGTCGGTGTGCGCCCCACCCGAGGATGGCACTTGGGCCCACTGCCGCAGGCCAAGCTCTGCTGGGGTTCAGAGCAGCCAGGGCCCAGCCTGGCCTTGGTCCTCTGCTGGGCTTGGTTCAGCTCAAGGTCTTCGAGAAGCCTGGCAGCCTGTCCCCAGACTTGGGGGGACAGCTTGTCCCGCTCTGTCTCTGATATCACCTCGCCCCTCCTCCGCCCCGGCCTGACCTCTGCCCTCTTGCCCACAGGAGCGTGACGGCATGCGGGCCATCCTGGGCTCCTACGACAGCGAGCTGACCCCGGCCGAACACTCGCCCCAGCTGACCCGCCGCATGCGCGAGGCTGAGGACCTGGTGCAGAAGGTGCACGCTCACAGCTCAGAGGTGGAGGTGAGTGCTGGGCCGGGGGCCCGCACCCCGAGGCCCCGGCCATGCCCCCCGAGACGCTGATGAAGAGTGATGGGGGGCCTGCACCCCGAGGCCCCGGCCGTGCCCCCCGAGACGCTGATGAAGAGTGATGGGGGCCCTGCACCCCAAGTCCCTGCCTGTGCCCCCCGAGATGCTGATGAATAGCGATGGGGGGGCCTGCACCCCGAGGCCCCGGCTGTGCCCCCTGAGACGCTGACGAGGGGGCCGCACCCGAGTCCCCAGCCGTGCCCCCCGAGACGCTGATGAAGAGCGATGGCGGGGAGGGCCCACGCCCCGAGGCCCTGGCTCTCTGTACCCCGAGCCCCGCTGTGCTCCACGCACACTCGGTCAGGTCATCGCCAGCTGGCCGTGCTGACCTCATGGCCGTCCATCCAGGCTTCCCCTGTGTCGGTGCTGGGGGCTGTCTGTGCCCTCAGAGCACATTGGCAGCGTGGTCACCGCCTCACCTTGTCCTCACAGCCCCAGGCCGGGGGACACCCGGCCGCCTCTCAGCCCCGTCCCCTGTGAGCCCTGACTCCCCCGGGTCCCCTGAGACTGTCAGCTTTGGGCAGAGAAGGCCCTGCCCCCGCCTTTCCTGTAGTCAGCAGGGCCGCGGGCGGTCCCTCTGCGTACCCGTCCGGCTCGGCCTTCCGGGAGCTCGGGGTGGTGGGAGTCACAGTGCACCCGCGTCAGCGCCCGATTGCCGCTGTCATTGTCGTCACCCGGGAGCCCACGCAGCTGGTCCAGGCGGGCAGGCGGCCCCAGGCAGAGGAGGGTAGGGGAGCGGGCTGTGGCCATGGCAGCACCCTGCCCCTGTCCACATTGGGCCTCCCAGCCCAGCCTCGTGTCCTCTGGACGCAGCTGTGAGATGGCTTCCTGTCCTCCGCCCAGGCCATGTTGACCCCAGGGCCACGTCAGGACGGACGTCCCCACTTATGAGGCTGGGCACTCCCGGGACCCGCCGCATGCTCTGGACGTGGGCTCTGCCAGGCCCCGCCCGCCCAGCAAGGCTGTCGGTGGTGGTGGACTCGCCTTCTGCGTATCCTGCATGACAGGGAGCCCCTGAGTCCTCCCCTGAGCCCCACGAGAGCCCCACCTGGGCCTGAGCCGCCATCCCTGGAGAGGCTCAGGCTCAGAGGGGCTGAGCGGGGCATTCTGGGCAGGTGGACAGAAGGTCAGCAGGCAGGTGAAGGGCGGCTGCCCGCCTCCGCGGTGGAAGTCAGGACTGTGCCCACCCTGCAGGGAGCCATTTGCCCCCGGCGCCAGCAGGAAGCAGCAGACGGAGCCAGGCGCCCTGCTCGGGTCGGCGGGACGGGGGCAGGTCGGGGGCTGTGCTGAGGGGCCCGCGCGGCACGCAGGACCCACAGGACTGGCTTCTGCTCAGCCTGGGCGCTCGTCCTGCTCGGCTCCCCCCTGTGTCTCAGAGCCTCCTCCTCCCTGCTTCCCCCCACCGCCCCGGCCATCTGCTGACCCCTGTGCCAGGCACCGCCTCCGTGGGCCCCGGGGCCCACCTGGTAGGAGCCCCCGGGCGCCAGGCCCCCGGCAGGACAGGCCCCGAGCTGTCAGCTGCGTGTCCACTCCTGCGGCCCCACGAAAGGGGGCAGCCCCGAGGTGTCTGACTGACCCCCGCCCCCCAGGCCAGTGGCCCCACCCGGCCCCGGGACCTGCTAGCGGGGCTGGGGTCCTCCTGGCGGCTCCTGTTGTTGTGTTAGTAACAGTAACATCTCCTGTCTCAGAAGCTCGAAAGCTACCCACACTTGGAGACTTCAGAAGCTGCTTCAAGCTGCTGCCAGACGTTCATTGGTTGAGCATCACATACTGACCCTTCCCTGGTGGCTCAGACGGTAAAGCGTCTGGCTTACAATGCGGGACCTGGGTTTGATCCCTGGGTCAGGAAGATACTCTGGAGAAGGAAATAGCAACGCACTCCAGTACTCCTGCCTGGAAAATCCCATGGACGGAGGAGCCTGGTAGGCTACAGTCCATGGGGTCACAAAGATTCGGACACGACTGAGCGACTTCACTTTCTTTCTTTCACATCACATATTGACAGACGGTAGAAACATATGTAACTTTATAGAACCTGTTAGTTAGTGGTTGTTTGGAGACTCCAGGTGAGTCCTCCGTCACTCAACGCTGAGCTGTGAGCACTGTTGGGCTTGGTGGGGAGGAGCCCCGACCTGCCTGCTGTGAGCACTGTTGGGCTTGGTGGGGAGGAGCCCCGTCCTGCCTGCTGTGAACACTGTTGGGCTTTGGTGGGGAGGAGCCCCGTCCTGCCTGCTGTGAGCACTGTTGGGCGCTGGGGGGGAGGAGCCCCGTCCTGCCTGCTGTGAGCACTGTTGGGCACTGGTGGGGAGGAGCCCCGTCCTGCCTGCTGTGAGCACTGTTGGGGCTTGGCAGGGAGGAGCCCCGTCCTGCCCGCTGTCTCAGGAGCTGCAGCACGCAGCGGTGCCTGCAGAGAGCACAGCCCCAGCGTGCACAAGTCCTCATGGTGTGCGCGGAGCGAGACCTGGTCTGGGGCGGGGGGCGCCCGGGGTCCGGCAGGCCTGGTGGCGGGTGGGGCTCCTTCTCCCCGCACTCCACTCCTCGCTCCTCTCTTCCGGCGTCGTCCCTCTGCTTGGCTTCTTTCTGCTCTGTCTTGGCTCCGTCTCTCTCTGCCTTCGCCCCCTCCCCCGTCCTCCCTCTCACCTTCCTCTGCCTCGGCTTCTCCTCGGCCTTTCTCCGGCCCGTTGCTCACCCCAAGCTCCTGCTCCTTCTCAGCAGGCTGTGTCCATGAAGGACCCACAGTGAGGCCTGTGGGCTGTGTGACCACGTGGTCTTGACGCTCAGCTCGGGGGCCATCGCGTGAAAGCAGCCACAGGCCCTCGGTAGATGGTGGGCGAGGCTCTCTGTTAATAAAGCTTTACTGACAGAACCGGGAGGGGGCTGGATTTGGACGCAGGCTGCAGTTGTTGGCCGTCTGTCTCAGCGCCTCTCTTCTGGGACCCCAAGCACCCTGCTGCCGCTGTGGGAGCTACCATGCTGGCTCCACGGGGCCCGGCCAGCCCCCCGCACCCAGGGCAGGCATCCACGGACAGGTGAGGGGACGGGGCGCTCCCCTGGCTTTTACTCGCTGGGACGGAGTGGGAACCACGGGGGTGAGCACAGGGAATTTGAAAACACATCCACTTCTGACAGAGCCATCGCATTTCACCCATTTAGCTTAATCAGCCAGTGCTAATGGGAAACGTGTTTTGATTCTGGCAGAAACACTCAGTGCGACGTGCCGGAGTGTTGAGCCTGGGAGAACCCCAGTAGCCCGGGCCTGCCGCTGCCTTGCACGGCTTCCGTTTGTTCCGTGTGATGAAGTGGCTGCGGAGGTTGGAGGCGCGTGTCCTGAGTCCTCTTCCGTCAACGGAGCCAGAAACACGCAGCTCACGCCACCGTGACTCGAGATGTTAGCCTGAGTTGTGTCTCTAGCTTATTTAATTAAGCAGGTTACGGTGCTGTGGGCTGCATGGAGGTCTGTGGGAAATCCCAGTCCCATAACGTAGCAGGTAATTCCTGGCTGCAGCTCGGGAAGAGCTGGACGCCGCTCCGCCCCTCCCGTGACTCATACCCGGGCTTACGTCCGAGTTTCTGTGCTCACCTCCCGCCTGCGGGGCTTGGCCCTAGGAGGAGCAGCAGCTTTTGAACCCTAGGCTGTTCACCAGGTCCAGGCTTTTTCTTACTCATGAAAGGATGTGTTTGGTGCTCTCCTTGTATAAGGAGCTTGAGCTGACTCCTGTAAAAAGCGCAGCTGAAACAAACTGGAAAATCTTGAGACAGAGTTCCAGGATGAGCAAGAGCTAAAGAGAAGTGGCGGGGAGGAAGGAGGTGCTCTGGGAGGAAGGAGGTGCTCGGGGAGGGGACAGCACCATGCCCGGGCCGCCTCTCTGGCCGCAGGGACCCGAGGGCAGAGGCCAGGGTGATGGGCGGCGGCCCGTGCTGCTTTTAGTTTCCCGAGGACCCTCTGGGCTGTTTCCCGTCGTTGCTGTGTCGCTTTGCATCCCCCCGCCCCTCCCCCCCCCAGCAGCGCAGGACACGTTCTTGCACACTCACTCCCTGTTGGGTCTTGGTGACACCCCCCCAACAGGTGCGTGGGGATCCCTCCCTGCTCCTGTTTCGCGGCTCCCGGACGGCGGGCGATGCCAAGCATCTTTTCTGTTGGCCATTTTTATTCTTCTTTGGAAGAACGTCTGTTCAGATCCTTTCACCATTTTTAAATTGGTATTTTTTTATATATACATTCAATCTTACGAGTCCCTTACATACGTCGGATATTACCTCCTCCGGTCCGTCATTCACACGCACGCTCCCCCGCTCTGCAGGCCGCCCTTCCTCTGTTTCCTGTGCTGTGCAGAAACTTTATAGTTTGTGTTTCCTGTTTCTGTCAAAAATGTCAGTGGACTGTTGATTGAGTTGACTTTGAATCTGTAGCTTGCTTTGCAAAGTATGCACTTTTAACAGTATTCTTCCAATCCGCAAACACAGAATATCTTTCCATTTATTTACATCGTATTCAATTTCTATCATCAGAGTCTTGTATTTTCCAGTGCATGGCTCTCTTACCTCCTTGGTTAAATTTATTGTTTTTATTAATTAATTTTTGACTTTGCCGGGTCTCAGCTGCTGCCTGGGCTTGTTCTCTGGTTGTATGTGGGCTGCTCTTGGCCACGGCTTCTCCCGTTCGGAGCACGGGCTCTAGGGCGAGGGGCCTTCAGGAGCCGTGGTGCGTGGGCCTCGTCGCTGCAGCTCCCGGGCTCGGGAGCTCGGGCTTAGCCGCTGTGGCACACGGGCGGACTGGATCTTCCCAGATCCGAGATCTGGCTTGTCTCCTGCATTAGCAGGTAGATTCTTTACCGCTGAACCACCAGGGGAGTCCTGTTTTATCGTTGTTTGATGCTGTTGTCCTGGGTGTTCATTGGAGGGACTGATGCTGAAGCTGAAACTCCAATGCTTTGGCCACCTGATGCGGAGAGCTGACTAATTTAAAAAGACCCAGATGCTGGGAAAGATGGAGGGCAGGAGGAGAAGGGGACGACAGAGGATGAGATGGTTGGGTGGCATCACCGACTCAATGGACATGGGTTAGGGTGGACTCCAGGAGTTGGTGATGGACAAGGAGGCCTGGCGTGCTGCAGTTCACGGGTTTGCAAAGAGTTGGACACAACTGAGCGACTGAACTGAACTGAGGCTGTTGTGAATGGAACTGTCTAGTTTCTTTGTCAGGTGGCTCACTGTCGGCGCACAGAAATGGCTTTTGGAGGTCGGGGCTGTGCTGGTCTTTGTTGCTGTGTGGGGACTTCCTCTCGTTGCGGTGCGCAGGGGCCCCTCTCGATTGCTCTGTGGGCTTCTCGTGGTAGCTTCTCGTCTCAGAGCCTGGGCTCTAGGGCACGAGGCCTTCAGTAGTTGTGGCGGCACCAGCTTAGCTGCTCCGAGGCACGTGGAATCTTTCTGGACCAGGCGTCAAACCCATGTCCCCTGCACTGGCAGGCAGAGTCTTTACCGCTGGACAGCCAGGGAAGCCTGAACTTTTGTATATTGATTTCTACATATTCACTGAATTTGTTCATTAGTTCTAATGGTTTTCTAGTGAAGTTTTAGGATTTTCTATACATAAGATCGTATCATCTGCAAGGAGACAGTTTTACTGCTTCCTTTCCTGTTAGATGCCTTTTATTGCTTTTTCTTGTCTGATTGCTCCGGCTCGGGCTTCCAGTGAGAGTGAGTGTCCTTGCCTTGTTCCTGATCTTAGAAGAAAAGCTTTCAGCTTTTCACTGTTGAATATATTACCTGTTGGCTTTATTATGCTGGAAAACATTCCTTTGGTACCTAATTAATTTTGTTGTGAAAAGATATTAAATTTTATCTAATGTTTTCCCTGCCTCTGTTGAGATGCTTATGTTATCTTTATCCTTCATTCTGCGATGCGGTGTTTCACCGTGACTGATCCGTAGATGTTGAGCCAGCCTTGCATTCCATGGATAAGTCCCACTAGATCACAGTGCACGGTCTGCGAAACATGCTGTTGAATTCAGTTTGCTAGTGTTTTGCTGAGGATTTTTGCGTCTGTGTTCATCAGGGTTATTGGCAGATGTTTCATTTTGTTTGTGTTCTCTTGGCACCCTTGTCTGGCTTTGATATTGGTAATGTTGGCCTTGTAAAATGAATTTGAATGTGTTCCCTTCTCTGATTTTTTGGAAGAGTTCAAGGAGGATTGGTATTAATGGTTTTTTAAATGTTTGGTAAAATCCACCAGTGAAGCCATGTAATCCTGGGCCTTTCTTTGTAGGGAGGGTTTTTTTTTTTTCTTCATTAATTCTTCTTACTCATTATTGGTCTGCTCAGACCTTTTTTTTTTAAGGTTTTTCTTGACTGTATGTTTGTAGGAGTTTTATTTTTTACGTCATCCAGTTTGCTGGTGTCAGATGTTGATCACAGCAGTTCTTTAGTCTTCGTGTTTCTGTGGCATCCTTTGTGATGTCTTTGCTCTCATATTTACTTGAGCTTTATCTTTTTCCTTAGTTCAGGAAGAAGTTTGTCAGTTTTGTTTATCTGTTAAAAAGACAGCTCCTCATTTTGTTGACCTTTTCCGTCTGGCCCCTGGGTGGTTGTCTGAACCCGCGTCCTCTGAGGGGATAACTGCAGAAAGCTGTGCCTTCCCCTTGCGATGCCCTCCGCCTGGATGTTCTTCCAGGTCAAGTGGCTGGGACACCCAGACCTGGGGTTGGAGGGCTGGTGAGGAGAGAGCTCTGGGGGGCGGGGGCTGAAGCCTGGCACTCCCGCAAGTTCCAGGGCGCTGGAGCTGTGGTCCCAGGCCCACTGCCCGCAGGGTAAGCAGGGGTGGACTGAGCCGGGACAGGGGCCAGGCAGGGGCCCCATCTGCCCCACGCTCGCTTCCTGGTGAAGGCGCGGCTGGGGTGCTGCCGAGATGTGCTCCTCGATCGACTAGCGTCTGTCTCTGCACTTTGTCACTGTCCTGTGTGTGCAGCGAGCCGGAAGGCAGGGCCCTGAGGCTCCAGTCTCCTGCTGTCCCTGTGACCTTGGGCGCCGCCTGTCCTGCCTGCCCTAGGGTGGCGTCCGGTGCTAGGTCGGAGATGAAAGCAGCCCCTCGCGGCCTGGGTGCAGCCCTCACCTGCAGCAGGCTGTCCCTGGGCGCCTCCTGGTGGCCTCCGGCGGCCCCTGAGCCGCTGGCTCCTCTGCGTGCCTGCCCCGCCTGCTCCGCTCCACACAGCGCAGCAGCCGGAGGGAGTGTGTCCCCGAGTTCTCAGGGTGGCCGTTCCCGTCAGGAAGCGCCCTGGCCTGGGCTGCGCGAGCTGCCGTGAGGAGTCGCTGGCCAGAAGCTCCCGGGCGGCCTGCTGTCATCCCATGTCCTCACGGTGCCGTGCCCCCGTGTAAGACTCACCCTGCAGGGTCCCCCCTCTTGGCACCACCTCGGGGTCCCCCCGGGTGCAGAGTGCGCCAGCTGGGCGACCGCCAGCACCGTGCCTCCTCTCCCAGGCGAGGAGCCGGCCCAGGGCAGCGAGGGCTCCGCCGGCCTCTGTGCCTGCGTCCAGACCTGGGTGTCAGGGCTGCGTGTGGCCTGCGGCCGCCCCTTGTCCTGCAGCCACGGTCTCCCGAGTGGCCGGGGGGGGCGTCGTGTGGCCCCCCTCCCTGCGGCAGCCTCTGTGCACAGCGTCCCCTCCTGCGCTCTGTCCTGCGCGTCCAGGGCCCTGCCCGGGCCGAGGGAGCTGGTGCGGTGGGGCCCGTCTCCTGCGTTTCCATCCCTCCCTCACACCCAAGTTCTGGGGGGCCTGCCCATTGATGCCAGGAAACCGCTGTTTGCGGGGTTTCGTTGAGGAGGGAGGGTAGACCTGGCACCTGTGTTTTCATTCTGCCCCCGCCCCCAGCAGCCTTCCTGGAGCCTGGGGGCCGTGGCGGCCGGGTCCTGCCTCCCCGGCTCTGCACAGAGGCCGTCCTGACATCTCCCCGGGCCCTGGGCTGCTCTGAGGAAGGGCTGCAGCCCGGGTGCTGCTGAGGGGCTTTCTCGCCACCACCTCCCCCCTGCCCAGCCTCCGTCCTGCCGGGCTTTGTCAGAGGCTTCCCTCCTCCAGCCGAGGGCCCGTGGCACCCTTGGGATCTCCAGCGCGCGGATGCCATGCTGTGCGTCCACTCGGCCCTCCCTGGGGCCCGTGACGGGCTGTCTGATCGCCTGCAGCGATGGTGCGCGTCCTGCTTAGAATCCCCCACTTATTGTAGCAGAACCGCCTCCCTTTCTCCCTAATTTGTCCTCCAGAGTGCTGGTGCTTGTGTATTTTAAACCTACTTTCTCATTGAAGTATGACGCACGCACACACACAGATGCACACGTCGGCCCTGTCTGCTTGATGAGCATCACCCAGGCGGAGCCCCCAGGGCCCCCCATTACCTGGTACCCCAGGCCCCCAGAAAGATGGAGGGGCCCCCTGCCAGCCCTTGGCAGCCCCACGGCTGTGCGCCATCCCCACACCCCCGTCCTGTCACCTCGGTGAATGCTGTGCTGGTCATGTCTCCCTCCTTGTGCATGGCCAGTCCCCTGGCCTCTTACCTGGGCACTGAAACTCCACCCTGAACGTCTGTCTCCTTCAGGCAGCTGCTTGGGGGGTGGCTTTGGCAAGCAAACTGCCCCTCCTTCCAAACAGGGGATTCGGGGCTCCCTGGGCAGTGGCGGGTGCGCAGAGACGGGGGAGGTGTGGTCCCTTGTGCTCCGGGAGGAGAAAGCCTGCTGACCGTGCTTCTGTTTTGTCTTGAAGGCTCAGCTGTCACAGGCGCTGGAGGAGCTGGGAGGCCAGAAGCAAAGAGCCGACATGGTGAGTCTCAAGGCCGCGCCCGGTGGAGGCCTTTGTGGCACAGCCGCGGGGCCCTTGACAGTCGTCCTTGTCAGAGACGCGGCTACCAGTGGGGAGGGGGCTTCACGGTCGGGTCCAGAACACCCCAGGCAGGGACTGCGGGCTCCCCGCCTGCAGCAGGCTGGGGCGCCAGAGTGCCGCCTGCCCAAGTCCATGCCGCCAGGCTGCGCAGACCGCACCCTGACCCCGCGGGGCGCCCTGGGCCCTCCAGCCTCGTGCGTCCCCTTTGCTTCTGTGCAGCCCCGGCTGCTGGCCGACTCCTGACGTCGGACCACGTCCGCCCTGCCGTCCTCGCGGCCTGGTAGCCCTCGCCTGAGCGCGTGCAGACGCGGCCATATGACCCCGCTGGCCCTCGGAGCCCATGGGAGACGGACAGCGTGGCCGCGAGCGTCCTCATGCAGTGCAAACTGTAAGCCGCTCTGGCGCCTGGTCTGGCGGCTTGGAGGACGACACCCCTGGGTACAGGCAGGCCGTGCGGGGGGATTGGCATGTGTTGTCCGGTTGCCCTGCCCAGGCCACTAGCCCGCTGGCCGGGGCACCTGGAGGCTCTGTGGGCGGGGCGCCGGGGCTGCTGTGGGCGGGGCACCAGAGGCTCTGGGGGCGGGGCGCCGGGAGCTGCTGTGGGCGGGGCACCGGAGGCTCTGGGGGCGGGGCGCCGGGAGCTGCTGTGGGGCTGGGGCTCCCGCCTGGAGTTGGGGTCCTGTCTCCGTGTTGGCGCCACCGGTGGGGGCAGACGCAGGTGGGGGTGAGGCGTCCTTGAACGCTCCTTGTTGCCCCGCGGGGCAGCCCCCAGGTGTCTCCACCACTGCTGACCCTTCCTGTCGGGAGGGCTCCACCTGTGGGGCCCAGGGGGCGTGGCGGGGGGGGCGTGCCCAGGCGAGGAGTCAGGAGTGGGGAGGCAAGGGGGATCAGGGAGCTGGGTTCAGAGGAGGATGCGGCGGGCTTGGGGTCCGGAGCACTGAGTCCCGGCCGGGAAGCACCTTGTGTGCTTACCCCTCGAAGGTGGGCGTCGGTGCCCATGGGGCAGAGCCCGAGACCAACCCCGCCTGGCTGCTCCATCTCAGATGCCTGTGGGGAGTCGGGGTCAGCCCCACCTGGGGTGGAGAGGCTGTGCCCAGTGAGGACCCCAGTCCCGTGTGTGATGGACGCCGTGGGACAGGCCAGGGCGGCCTGGGGCCTAGGGGAGCATTTCCTGAGGAGGCAGAGGGCACGTCTGGACCCTCGGAAGCCCCCAACCACAGCCTCCGGGAGCTGGGAGGGTGGCCTCTGGTGACAGGGTGGGACGTCCCTGGGGCCTCCCCACCTCCTGTCCTTGTCCACGGACATTGACTCTGGGGCCGCCGGGCGGGGGGCGGGGGGTGTCCTTGAAGACCGATGGTCCCTCCTACGAGTCCCTGGGGACAGGACGTTGTGTGTCTCCTGCACAACTTCCTTGCTGGGTTTGAGCTGGAGAGTGCCTGAGGGCACAGTTGCCCTGAGAAACCCTGAGTCAGTGAGGTCCACGCGCCCTCGGCGCGCCAGGCTGGGAAACCTGCAGGAGCTTCCCCAGCCCTGGGGCTTTTGGATTAGCTGGGCGCCCTCACGTGTGCCCTTCCCCAGCCCCAAACTGCCCTTCCCCAGCCCCGGGGCTTTTGGACGAGCTGGGTGCCCTCTCAGGAGGAGGGGGGATAGGCCTGCTGCGCTTGCCCACTGGCTCCTGGCCCTCGGCCCGGTGGACGTTGGGCCGCTGGGGCAGTTGCCCCTGCTCACGGGGGCTGCAGGGCTGTGTGCTTCCTCCTACTTTGAGCTCCTGCAATTTCTGCTCCTCATGTGAAGCCTGCAGGGGCTTTGAAGTCCCTCCTCCAGACCGGTTACACTGGAGCTTGTAGGGGGCGGGCAGCCAGGCGGGGGTGTTATTGCACGTCTCCCGGGGCAAGTCTGGTGTCTGCCACTGTGGAGAGCCTCCTGTGGGCCTGGTGCCCCAAACTCAGTGCCAGGCCCTCTCCTGGCCACCGGGGGACCTTTGGGGACCACTCTGCATGAGGCAGCTTGTCCCAGCAGTGCTGACCCTGCGGAGGGCTGGAGTGCACGGCCTGTCTCTTGTCTGAACCCAGAGGTGCGGTGCCGGTGGCCCCCGCGTGCACACCCGGGCCGCTGCGGACTCATCGCACTGGTCCTTTCAGGCTTGTTGTTGGATCTGGGCTGTCGCTGTCTCCTCAGAGAAGCTTTTAATCTGTGCCTTTGATTGTCCCATCTTTAGCTTATTTTGTGGTGTTTATTTCACTTCTCTCTTCTCTTTCCTTGTTGAAGGGAAAATGAGAAATGGCAGTGCAGGGACCCGAGGGCGGGAGCATGCGAGCCTCTGTTCCCGCTCCCGACTGGGTCCAGAGGGCCCTGCAGCCCCCGAGGACCCAGCCTGATGCCCATGGGCCAGTCCTCAGGGAGTGGGATCGCCCAGGAAATACTTGTGTTTGCCTACAAGGGGCTTTCTGCTCTGATGTAAACCCCCGAGGGGTGGAGGAGTAAGAGACTGGAGCAGGGGCAGTGACCCCCGCATGCTGAGGCTTGGAGGCCACAGTCAGCCTGCCCTCCCACGCCAGTGCCCAAGGCCTTGGTCCTGCCGGTGTGTTGCTGCCGCTAAGAGGGTGGGGCTCCTCTGGGTCTGGGCTGCGAGCAGCCTGCATCCAGGGGCCCTGACCACCCCAGGGCCTCTGTCCAGGAAGGTTCCTGCTCTTGCTTTCCCAGCCCCAGCTCCCTGACCTGCTGTTGTCCGGCCCAAAGTCAGCTCGCTAGGCAAGAAGAGATGTTTAAAAAAAATTAGTAATAATTAAGCATCTTTAGGTAATTGCAGATGACAGCACAAAGACAGTTTGACTTTTTGTTAATAATTAGCAAATTCATGCCAATTAGTATGTGTGAGTACCATTCCTGTTTTTTTCTTTTCCGAGGAGAGACGCCCCCACTGTAGCTGTGTCTGGCACGCCCGGCCCTCACTGGGTGGGGTGAGCTGTGGCTTTAAATGCAGTTAACATCCCGAGGAGAGACGCCCCCACTGTAGTTGTGTCTGGCACGCCCGGCCCTCACTGGGTGGGGTGAGCTGTGGCTTTAAATGCAGTTAACATCCCGAGGAGAGGCGTCCCCACTGTAGTTGTGTCTGGCACGCCCGGCCCTCACTGGAGGGGAGGCTTGGTTCTAACTGTCCCCTTGTTGTCACTTGACCTCAGGGGCCGGGCTGGACGCCTGTGCTGGGGTCCTTGGCTGGATGCCTGTGCTGGGGTCCTTGGCCCGCCTCCCAGGGCTCCTCCCGGAAGCGGCAGTCCAGACGGGGAGTGAACACGGGCGGCCTGGCGACCCCCTCCGCCTTCCACCGCCCTCCTCCTCCGCTCCGTCTCCAAGCGGGCGCAGTGGTCCAGGCTGTGAGTGTCCAGGCTTCGCGTGCCGCCCAGTGACACGTGCTTTACAGCTGCCTCCATTGCCCGTGGACAGCGCAGCCAGGCAGGTTCCAGGGGCTCGCGGGGCTCCGGGGCTTCCCCTGTACGGGAGACTAGCGGTGCTCTCTGAGTCCCGGGGCTCGTGCACAGATCACACAGATGGTGGGAGATGGTTCGTAGCCCTGCCGGGTGGTGCCCAACCCCACGGATCTTGCTGACGCTGCGTCACTGTCGACTGCAGCGCTCAGGCCAGTGAATCACCGGGAGGGGGGTGAGCCTCCATTGTTCACCAGTGGCACCACCGCCTGCGTGCGCCCCCCCAGCCAAACATCCGGCCTTATCACAGTCCTCCAGCAGGGCCAGCTGCCTTTCCTTAAATTATTAAAAGCACCTCCTGGTTCTGACTGGTGGTGAGTCATTTCATGTTCTGGATCTGTCCTGCTGTGACTGGAAAACGTCTGTCCTAGGCAGGCGTGTCGGTCGGGCCGGGAGATGACCACGGAGACGGTGAGGAGCGGGCCTCCCCAGCCCTGGGCCTGCCCCGAGCCTCAGCGCCCGCTGGAAAACGCTGCTTTCTCAGGGGCCTGGCCCAGAGGCATGAGCCCACGGGTGCAGGCCCAGCCGCTTAGGCTCGTGTAGGTGGAGCCAGACGGTGACTGACCCTGTGGCTGTGTGAGGCCCCCGCATCTCTGAGAGCCAGGCTGTGACAGGGGGGTGGAGGGCCGGGGTCCCGCTGGCCGGGCCTGGCGGAGCGCCCCCATCTCCGAACGAGCGCAGGGGGGCCGCGCCCACGGGTCCTGCATGGCTCCCACAGCAGACACAGCGTGACCTTGGATCCTTTCTCTGCACTTTGGTAGCCGTCCTCCCATCTCCTGCCCCAGGTGAGGCATGGCGCTCGCTTGCCAGGTTTCGGGCGGGCCTCCCGTTGGACTCCAGCTGGCGGACGGGTTCCCCTGGGAGCCGGTGGCGCCCTGCAGCTCGGTGCTGTGAGCGCTCTCAGCACATGTGCCCGCTCAAGAAACGGCCTTCCAGGGCAAAGCGCAGCCTGGACACATTGTCCAGCGAGGCTTCTTTTTACCCGAGGCGACGGCGTGTCCCAGCCAGGTCGGCAGCTGGCTGAGCCGGTGGTGACCGCCTGTGGCTTGCTGCACCTGGCGTGGCCCTCAGGCTGAAGTGGAATCGACAAGGGGGCCGTTCCAGACCCTCCCAGGACGCAGCACCACCGCCCCCACCCGCCGAGACCTTCCAGGGTACTCAAAGGGTCCAGGCTGAGCAGGCCCTTCGGCCGGGGTCCCCTCTGGTCTCAGCGTCCTCTCGTCTCCAGGAGGCCTGGGGCCCTGCCTGGTGGGGCTCCAGGGGAGAAGGCAGCGGCCTGGACCTCTGCGATGAAGGCCCTGGGTGGGCAGCTCTGGAAACCCAGGCCCTCAGCCCTGTCGTGACCGTCTGTGGGGCTGGACGGAGGCCGGGTTCCTGTGCTGAGACATGTGTGACCCCTCACGCTGGCGCTCACCAGGCGGCCATGCTAGCTAGACTTGCTCTTGGGGGAGGGGG